TTCAACCAATTGTCTTATGGCACGATCTCAAGGCCTTCCACCATCCTGGTTGCCCTTTTCTGGATGCTCTCTAGTTTATCAATGCCCTCCCTATACTGTGTTGCTCAGTACTAAGTTCAACATGCCAAATGTGGTCACTTAGTACCCCAGGCGTGGAATGACTAGAGCAAATACAGTGACACTATCAACTCCTGGTTACTAGAAGCTATGACTCTCAGTGCTAGGATTTGTTTTGGCTGTCATATCATTCTGTTGATAATTAAGACATAGGGAGAATTAACCTAAACATATAAGCCCAAGTGCCATTTCCCAATAATAATTATAATAATAGCTAGAATTTATATAGTGCTTTAGTGTTTGCAAATCTCTTTACAAATATTATTTAGTTTTATCCTCACAACAATTTGGGGAGGTAGGTACTATTATTATGCTCCCTTTATAAATGAGGTACCTGAGGCAGGTAGAGATTTAGTGGCTTACTCAAAGTCACATAGTGAGTACCTGAGGTCAGATTTGAACTTTGGCTTTCCTGGCTCTAGGTCCACTAACCCAAAATGTTTGAACAGATAGTTTTCAAAAAAGTTCAGACTATCAATAACCATATAAATGACTGTTCCCAAATTGCCAATAAGAGAAATGCACATTAAAATAACTCTGCAATTTTATTTCGTACCCAGCAAATTTGCAAAAATGACAAAAGACCAAAAGAGTCAGTGTTGCATGGCCCACTGTGGGAAGCTAAGAATATTAAAACACTCTTGGTAAAGATGTGCTTTTTTTCCCAACCATTCTGGAAAATCAATTTGGAGTAATGCAAAAGTTAAAAAGAAATTCACTAAACTTCTGGTAATCTTTGACTCTAAGATCTCACTGTTGAACACACACCCTCAGGAAGTCAAAGACAGGAAGAAATTCCCACATCTACCAAAATATCCATAACAGCACTATTTATGGTAGAAAGAAAACTGGAAACATAGTAGATAGATGCTCATTGATTGGGGAATATCCAAACTGTGGAATATGAATGTAATCAAATGTTTTTACTCTGTTGGAAATGAGGAGTATGAGGAATGATGCAGAAGTGAAGTAACCAAAATCAGGACAATGCATACAATAACCACAGTAACATAAATGAAAAGAAGACTAAAGTGAACACAGCGTAATTATAATAACCAACCATGGCCAACAGAGAAAATATGCAAACATTTCCCTTCTTCTGGTAAAGAAGTAAGAGACTGCAGGTGTAGAATACTGCATGTGCTGTTAGACATAATCAGTGTGTGAGTTGGTTTTGTTTAACTATTTTTCTTTGTAGAAAGGAGGGCTCAGGGGAAGAGGCTTATATCCAGAAATAATATAAAGCCAAGAGACATTAATAAAACATTTTAGAAATATGAAATAAATACAAAATAAAAAGAAGCCTATGTTAATCTTTTTTCCCCTTATTTTATGGCACAGAAACTTGAATCTGGTCTTTATTCCTAATACTATCTTTAATTATTATGGTTCCCAATGTAATTCTGTCTCTTGTATAGGTATGTCTATCCCATTAATGTTTGTTGAATAATAAGCATGTGAGAGTTGCAGTAGAGATGGGTTTTTTATGAAGCAAGGTTGAATGCTTGAAAATATTTGCAGTATTTCAAAAACGGCTAGGCAAGGAATCTAGGTCTCTAGAACAGGTCAGCCACATTAGTAGAGTGGAGAATAAATCATCTTTATTAAAAAAAAAAAAAAGACTTCCCAATGATTAGGGTGATAAAAAGGCAGAATGGACTTCAAACCAGGGTTAAATAACCTACTGCCTGGTATGCTGTAGAGATGATTCTTGTTCAGGTTTCTCCACTGCCCCTTCCCCCCTCCACCTCTTACATTAGGTTCTGATGACTGCATTACTAAGTTTTATTCAGCTGTTGGATGATCATTTGGGTTAAGACCAGTGTGGCTATGTCATCAAGTCACATAATTCTTCTTGAAACTTTACTTTTAATACACAATGTAGTTCAGAATGGTATTGAGGAAGCATTCTCTACCCTGATCCCTACCCCAAACACAAGGAATTTGGTGAAGTAGTTTACAAACAGCATATATGTGTTCACACACACACACACACACACACACACACACACACACACACAAGTATGTGCATCATTTAACAAAATGCATGTGATTTCAAAATCAAGTTTCCTAGGGGGAAAATGCTCATTTTCATTACCAACTAATCCTTTCAATTTTTACATTAATCCAACTGTAAAACATGGAGACAATCCATTGTGTGTTTAAGGAGCTGCAAAAGATTCTCTGCAACTGATGTCCTTTAAAAAAAAAGTTTGATTAAATACTATAATTACACATCAATAAATAGAAGAAATTTTCAGTTAGCCATGGAACTCCTGGAACTTCATGGTCTCTTCTAACTATTCTTCCCTGAACTTATCGCCACTTCAATGAAATTGCTCTTCTTATCAGTGGTGGACTTCTTGTGAAGTAAGACTATTTTCTTTATCTTTATGCTCCTGGTGTGTCACATTGTTGAGTGTCCTTTCAAACTTATTATGTGGTTTCCAAACATATTTTTGCTCATCTCCTCCTACATCTTTCATAACTCTTCCACAGAATCTTTGAATTGGAAGGAACCCCAAAAGGCAGCTAGATAACTTTGCTTGAAAACTTCTAGTGAAGGTGAACCCACTACAACCCCAGGCAACCCATTCCATTGTTGAATGGTTCTAATTGTTGGGGGAAAAAATTGTTTTCCTCTTATCAAGCCTGAATCTACCTCTCTGAAGCTCCTAGCCTTTCCCAGTTATGCCCTCTGGGGCCAAGCAGAATCCTTTTTTCACAATACAGTCTTTCACATACTTGAAGATAGGTATCATGTTCCTCTCTGTCTTGTCTTTTCCAGGCTGAACATTCCTAGCTATTTCAACTAATCTTATGCCCTCATCAACTCCTCTGAGCATGCACCAATTTGTTACTATGTTTTCCAAAATGTGATACCCAAAACTGAACACCATATTCCAGATTTGGTCTAACTAGGGCAAAATACAGAAGACTATCACCAGCCTCATCCTGATCTCTCTTTAGCCTAAAATCATACTAGTTTTTTAGCTGTAAAAGGGGTGGGTGGGAGACAAATGTTCTCTTTCTCCATTGGCTCCTCTTTATTGTCCTATTTTCTGTGTATTTACTTCAAGTCCATATCAGTCACCTTCTGGTTTTATCTCTTTGAATGAATTCCTTCTGGTGCCTAGCTACTTCTTTGATTTTGACATCCCTATTACCTAAACTTGAAAGCACAGTCAGTTTTGAGTCGACACTTTGCATATTCAGTCACTCACCAAATGAATGAGATAGCGTCTCAGGTCTCCTTGAGCTCCAAATCTATGTCCCTTTGATATTGTGAATGCTTTCTTCAAAATATTTCTTAAATGTCTTCTTTTCCATTTTCAATATCACTACCTCTAATTAGACCCTCGAAGCCTTTTTATATCGTTGGATCCACTCTGTGGATTTGCTGCAGTCCCACTTTTTTTTTCTACCAGCAAGCTCTAACACTTAACTTATTGGTGTCAACTTTTTATTTCTAGCTGACACTATCTCTCCCTTCTGAATTAGTTTATCTTGAAAACTCAATTTGGCCCAAAGGAAAGGATATAAGATTTATAGGATCAAAGGACCTCCTGCTGGAAGGGACCTTAAAGATAATCTATGCCAGTAGTATCAAACTCATATAGAAATGGATCCCTGAAGGCTGCATATTGACTTAGAAAACCACAAATTAACATTACCTGTATTTTATTGTATTTTTGTGTGTTTTGTTGAACATTTCCCAATTACATTTTAATCTGGTTCTAGCTTAACTGGGGAGTAGTATGTTTGACACATCAGTCTAGGCCAACCCCTACAAAAAATTTTAATGTTTTGCTCAGCTTGTATAAGTACTAAGTCTGAGTTTCAAACTTGAACCCAGGTTTCTGTTGTGTTTTTTTTCTTCTCCAAAGCTATTGTTCTTTCTACCACATGCTGCCGATCTCTTTCTACTGCCCTGCTCCACAAAAATATCACACAACCCCTTCCCTATATGTTTTAAATTCTTTTGCTACTGAGCATGTACATGAGAGTGACAATTTTTAAAATGGGAAATTTCCCAAATTTATGGAAGCCTTATCAATTAATCTTGATGGAAACTAAGCCTATTTTTCCCTCTCTCATTTAACTCAGTCTTTTTAGATTCTTATCTAATTGCACACATTTTGCATGCTCTCTCTCTCTCTCTCTCTCTCTCTCTCTCTCTCTCTCTCTTTCTCTCTCTCTGCATTTCCCCAAATCTATCACTGTCAGTCTATCTCTGTCACCCTATCTGTCTATTCTTTCTGTGTCTCTCTCTTTGTCTCTGTGTGTCTCTCTCTGCATCTCCCCAAATCTATCCCTGTCTGTCTATTCTCTATGTGTAAGTCTCCTTGTCTTTCTCCATCTCTGTCCCTGTGTCTGTCTCTGTTTCTCTCTGTCTCTCTCTGTGTGTGTCTCTCTCTCTGTCTCTCTGCCTTTCTCTCTCTCTACATCTCAAATCTATCGCTGTCACTCTATCTCTGTCAGTCTCTGTCTGTCTGTCTCTCTGTTCTCTCTGTGTATCTCTCTGTGTATCTCTCTGTCTCTGTCTCTCTCTCTGTCTCTCTATCTCTATCTTGTCTCTCCCTCTCTCTCTGTCTCTCTCTCTGCATCTCCCCAAATCTATTGCTGTTGGTCTCTGTCTGCCTGTGTCTCTATTCTCTCTCTATGATTCTCTCTGTCTCCATCTTTGTCTCTGTGTCTCTCTCTGTCTCTCTGTATCTCTGTATCTCTCTCTCCTTCCCACTCTCTCTCTTTCTCTCTCTCTTATCCTTCCTGTAAACTGTCACCCAAGGGGAGGATATCTGCCAAGTTTCCTAGCCAACTGCCATATATCCATGATCACAGTTACCTCGGTTTCTTTTCTGTTTGCTCTTCCCTGGTTTTAGGCAACTGAGAACCCAGAGATTGAGTTGACAAGATTATGACCTTGTGAACTTCAAAAAGTCAGAAGAGCCACCACAAAGAGGAGTCAATAGCAAAGTCCACCAGAGGTGGTAAGCAGTGGCCAATGACAAAAGAAGTGCCTTCAGACAGGTGTGAAAAGATAGTCACCCAAGGATGGCAGTGGCTTCAAAGATCATGCCCTCTCTCATGGCAGATAAAAGCACTGGCTAAAGACTCTAGAAATGGACAGATCCTCAAAACTCAGCAACACCTGAGGGAAACTTCATGAGGTCTCCACGAAAAAGAAAAAAATCCAGGGTCAACAGAGTTATGATGTACCCTTTTGCCACATGTGTTCTCTATATGTATACCTCAGGACCATCATACTTTAAATCTAAGCCCATCTTTTTGGGTCCTTGTTTGCTCAAGGGGCAACTGTGCTCCCGGTTTGGGAAAAATATTTCTATAATTTTTTTTCTCTTTATGCCTTCTCAGTAAATCCCTTTTCTAAAGATAATAGAGATGACTTCAGTCCTGGAATTTATATCTTGGAGGTAACCTTACCCCTGGGTCCCCTTTCTTTGATTGGATGACTTTTCCTCAAACCTCCATTTAAGGTGGGTACCCAGGACAGCCTCTTCATTTCCCACCAAGGTGAGAAATTTCCATATTTCTTTACCATGCTCTAGTAATCTCCTCATTCCGGAAGATCATCTTAGCTCTGGAATTCACACTTGGAAAGTACTCTTCCCCACTGGGGTCCCTCCCTCTCATTGGATGGCTCCTTCTAGGACCTTCATGTAAGGAGGGCAACCTGGCCAGATATCTCTTTATTTCCTATCAGGCTGTACTTCTCTATCATCCCCTGCTTCACCTTCCCCCCTTCACCTCCTTTCAGCTTCCTATTTATGTTTTGTCTTCTCCCTTAGAATGTAAAGGTAAGAAATTTTAAGGTAAGGAATGTTTCTTTTTGTTTATATTTCTATCAGTACAGAGACTGCTTAATAAATGCTTGTTGACTGACTGGGTTCAACTGCTTCTGATTGAAATTCGAGTGTATAGTAGTGGCCACTCAGGAACAAAAATGTTTAAAACCCAGCCCCTCTGGGTTATCCTTAAAGCCCTGAGGGGAACACCAGTCATCTGCCTTCTGGGGACCCAACCAGCCAGCATGAGTTGGAGTTGAGAAAAGTAAGCCCAGAGACAGTACTATATTTATATTTGAGATACTGGTCAAAAATGTTGTACAAGAGAGGAGAATCTGACGATTTGATTACAATTTTACTTTGTTTTAGTGAATCATTTATCTACTGAGAAGTCAATGTGTCTTATTAGTGAGGTTAGCTAATAAAGAGATTTCCCATATGTCAGTGATGCAAGACTGGAGCTATAAATTATCTAATTAAAAAATATTTGGAGCTTTCATTTCCATACCCTTAAGTTCACTATTACATCTGGGACTTGTGTTCACCATGCCTCCTTATGTTATCCTTTTTCCATTACGTCTCACCTGCAACTTCCAACACCAAATTGGTCTACTCATTGTCTCCTCCCCTCCAGCCCCAAAGCTTCATGGTCATTCTTGCCTGGCTCTTTGCCCATTTCATTCCCCCAACCTAAAAAGTACACTGCAGTACTCTGACATACAAATTTCTTACCTATCTCTCCCTTGTGAAATATTTTGTGACCACTCAAGGACCCACTGCTCTTGCTTTCCTTAGATCTCATGTAGCACTTATTATTTACGCTGGCTCATCCAGATGCTTAATCAGATACTTGTACTATTATTTAATACTTCACATGTATACCTTACTCTCCAACCTGCTGGTTGGTCTCGCTGCCACAAGTTCTTCTCCCATCTACCCTCCACTCAGCTATCAAAGTGAGCTTCCTAACGCAGAGATCTGGCCATGTCATTCCCCTGCTCAATAACCTCCAGTGGCTCCCTATTACCTCCAGGATCAAATATAAAATTCTTCCTTTAGCATTTGAAGCCTTTAATAATCTTTCCCTTCCTCCTCCCTTTCCAGTCTTTTTATGCCTTTACACTATCCCTTGTACTCTTCAATTCACTCAGACTGGCTTCCTTGCTATTCCTCAATGAAGACACTCCATCTCACAATTCCAGATGTTTTCACTGGTTTTCTCCCATTCCAAGAATTCTCTTCTTCCTTATTTTTGCCTCCAGATGTCCCTGGCCTCCTTCAAGTCCCAGCTAAACCCCACCTTCTGTAGGAATCCATTCCCAGCCCCTCATTTCTACTGCCCTCTTTCTGTTGATTATTTACAATTTAGCCTGTATTTAGTTTGTTTGTAAGAAGTTGTTTGCATGTTGTCTCCCTGATTAGATTGTAAGGTCCTCAAGAACAGGGATTGTCTTTTAGTTTTCATTGTATGCCCAGCACTTAGCATGATACCTGGCACTTACTTAGTAGGAGCTTCATAAATGTGTACTGACTGACTGACCTAATTTAGCCTCTGAATTAATGTCCTTGCTTCCTGGCTTTTTCTTTCCCAATCCATCCTCCACCTGGCTGCCATAGTCCTCTTCCTAAAACAAAAGTCTGACCATGTTACTCCTCTGCTCAAGGCTCCCTGTTACCCCTAGGAAAACTCTTCAGCTTGGCATTTAAAACTTCACAGTTTGACCAGACTAATTTTACATCATATCACTTTATGCACCCCATTTTCCAACCAAACATGTTCATCTGCTGTTCCCTGAATTCTCTCCCTCTCTGTACCCCTCACCCTGGCTCTGCACCTTCCCAAAGATTGTCCCCACTATCCGGAATGCACTCCCTCCTTACCTCCATTTCTTAGATTTCTTAATTTCCCTTCAAGGCTCAACACAGATGCCACCTCCTAGGGGAAGCCTTTCCTGACCCTCCTAGTATTTTGTGGAGTTACACTACTCAAATTATCCTGTATTGATCTGTGTATACATTGATTTCCCCTTTCCCCCTCCTCCCAAGCGGTATAAATTCCTTGAGAGCAGAGATTGTTTTTCACATGTTTTTATCCCCAAGCATCTAGCACAATAATCGCTTAGTAGTGTTTAATTGAACTAGCTAATAAACTTCTTAAGGTCAGAGATTTGCCTTAAACTTCTCTGAAACTCCCATGGCAGGTAGAACAATACTACTGGCAAGCACTTAATATCTTCCCACCTCCATCTTTCCAACCCCAACCCGCCAACCTGAGTAGCTAGCTGGCACAGCAGATAGAGTGCGGGGGCTAAAGTCATAACCTTAGCCTGCCTCAGTTTCCTCATCTTTAAAATGGGGATAAGAACAGCTGTTATGAGGATCAAATGAGATATTTGTAAAGCACATAGCACAGTGCCTGGTAAACAGTAGCTGTTTAATAAATTCTTGTTTCCTCTCTCCCTCTCACTTTGAATGAAAAGCTATGTGGATGGATCTCCATGTAAGATCATGAGTAGCCACTGTTTACGTCTTCTAAAAGTCATCCATTCTAAACACACGGCTTGAACACCGGATATATGCTGCATTAAAATGATTTCATTGCTGAACAATGGGACATTGTTCCTGGTAATCTTGTATTGACAATTTACTTGTACCTCATAAGTGAAACAGACAAAACTTTGCTCCATGGGCAGTTTTCTGCTCTGTGGCAGGTCCAGGTACTGCAGTCTTAGAGAGCATTGGATACTTTGCTGTCATTCAGTAGATAGAGCAGCAGATAAAGCTTTGAATTTGGAATCAAGAAATCTTGAGTTCATATACGACCATGGACACTTAGTAGCTGTGTGACCCTAGGCAAGTCACAACCTCTGTTCACCTCACTTTCCTAGTTTCTAAAACAAGGATAATCATAGTACTTACCTCCCAGGGCTGTTGTGTTAACAAATGAGATAATACTTATAAAGCTCTTTGCAAACCTTAAAGTGCTATATAAATGCTAGTTATATCCACATCTAGAGAAAGAACTGATAGAGTCTGAATGCAGATGAAAGCATTCTATTTTTCACTTTATTTTTTTGTGTTTTTTCTTTTGTTCTGTGTTTTCTTTCACAACACAACTAATATAGAAAATATGTTTTGCGTGATTGCACATATGTAACCTATATCAAATTGCTTACCATCTCAGGGAGGGGGGAAGGAAGAGAGTGAGGGAGAAAATCTGGACCTCAAAAAGTTTTTAGATGAATGTTACAAATTGTCTTTACATGTAATGGGGGGAAAATAATTTTTTTAAATGCTATTGTATGTGCAGGTGTGACCCTGGTGGAATAAATTAAAGTCTATAGCTCTTCTTGACTCTCATCTTCCTGGGTTGCATAACCTTTATCTGCCTCTATTTCATCATCCCTTTCCAAGCTTTAGAGCTGGTGTGGCACACTTGTCACCACCATCACCACACCTGGTCACTAAAGGAGCACTCCTCCCTTTACCTGTCCTAATTCAGGTGTGGAAAAATCCTTTCCCCTTAGTTCAGCCAAGACAAATTTAGAATTTTTAGAAGGAACTTTTGCTAGGAAACTTAAGGAAAACAGAACAGATCCAAAAATTTAGAAGCAGACAAGTTTCCAAAGCATAGATTTTTTATCCAAATTTAACTAAAGTCTAGACACTGGTTGACTTGACTGGTGAAGCTGAAAGGCATCAGTTCTTGGTCCCTTTTTCTTGCCTCAACCCTGTCTGGGTTGGATGCTGGAAAGAGTTTGTTAAACAAAGATACTCAGACTTTTAGACAGAGGTCATTTGGGGTTGGTACCACTACAAGGTCTTACAGGATTCTAAATTCCTCTCAAAATCTGCTTCCTGGGCTTCTCTCTGTATAGGGGCCCTTCAGGGAGCTATTGCCATGGGACTAATGTGTACACTTGATACTAGTCCTGGCTCCCTTGGGTCTTACACTGAGCCCTGGTGCTCCAAACATTCCTCCCCGGTCATCTTAAGCTGACCTTGAGAATGTCGCCTTTGTCTGAGTCTTGGAGTTTTCTAAGGATTTGGGACCTGGGACATTGTCTGATCCCTTTTCTCTCTAAATTGGTAAGTGTACATGAAGTTCATTTACTGGAGAGTTGTTCAAGTGGTTTTCCTGAATTTTTAACCTATCATAACACTTTTACTTTCCCACCTATTACCTCTCATAGGTTAGCATCTGAGTCTAGCTTCCCTAGCAGTCATTCAGTCTAAGTGGTGGGTTCCTTTTCTCAGATATTTTTTTCTTTTTCTTTTCCTTTTTACATCATTGCTTCAGGTGTCATAGATGGTCAGAATAAGCCATCCTGTTTCTCTCTGTTTTGAAGCCTGGACCATATCTTTGAGACATCCACTTTGTTTTCTGTCTGGTAGGGGCCTTGAGTTCTCAACTCTTTGCAGAGCAGAGATGACTGAAATAACCTGTGCCCAGTGACTGATCCAGCCTTTCAATGCTTAATTTACTAGGGTTATCTTGGAGTACTCATCCCTCAGGTTCCTCCCTGGTCCAAGTAAGAGATCTTCTAAGATATTATCATTATAATTTCACAACACCAAAATACTTGAATATACAAAAACAATAACAAATGTAACTTTCACCAAATAAAGCAGAAGAATGTTCCTTCTCGTCCTTTTCTTTGAATTTCTTTTAGCTATTAGTATCCACAGACAAAAATCCATTGTGAAGGACCAGAATTAATGACTTCTATATGAGTCAAAAATAGAAAGGAAGCATGAAGGATCCATGTCCAAAAGGACACACACATTACTACAAGAACAAGGCTTTGTTTGGGAGAGGTCTTCTCCCTTATTATCACCTCAAACACTCAGTGCCTGGCCATACTTGCTGTCCAAGATTGTTTCCAAACTCTAGGCAGCATGGTACACCAGTAAGACTGAGAGAAGAAAGAATAAGACCTGAGCTGTTGACATGCTCTACCACTAAGTAGTTGTATGTCACTTTGGGAAATGAACCAATGGAGCATTTATTAATTACTTGCTAAGT